GTCTTCAAATTTTCTATTCCTGATTCAGTTTTGGGAGGTTATATGTTTCTAGGAATTTATCCATTTCTTCTCAGTTGTCCAATTTGTTGCCATATAATTTTTTATAATATTCTCTTACAATCCTTTGTATTTCTGTGGTGTTGGTTGTTATTTCTACTCTTTCATTTGTGATTTTGTTTGAGTTCTCTCTCTCTTTTTTTTATGAGTCTGACTAAAGGTTTACCAATTTTGTTGGTCTTTCCAAAGAACCAGCCCCTGGTTTCTTTGATCTGGTCTATTGTTTTTTTAGTTTCTATTTCCTTTCTTTCTGTTCTCATCTTTATTATTTCCTTCCTTCTGCTGGTTTTTGGTTTGTTTCTTTTCCTAGCTTCTTTAGGTGTAAGATTGTTTATTTGACATCTTTCCTGCTTCTTGAGGTAGGCCTGTATTGCTATAAACTGCCCTCATAGAACAACTTTTGATGCATCCCTAAGATTTTGGACCATTTTATTTTCATTTTCATTTGTTTCCATGTAATTTTTTATTTCTTCTTTGATTTCTTAAATGACCCACTCATTGTTTAGTAGCATGTTCTTTAATCTCTATGTTATTTGTGGTATTTCCAGATTTTTTCTTGTGGTTGATTTCCAGTTTCATAGCATTGTGTTCAGAAAAGATGCATGGTATGACTTCGATCTTTTTGAATTTATTGAGACTTGTGGCCTAATATGTGATCTGTTCTGGAGAATGTTCCATGTGCACTTGAAAAGAATGTGTATTCTGCTGTTTTAGGATGGAATGTTCAGAATATATCTGTTAAATCCATCTGGTTCAGTGCATCATTCAAAGCGACCGTTTCCTTGTTGATTTCCTGTTTGGATGATCTGTCCTATGATGTAAGTGGTGTGTTAAAGTCCCCTGCTCTTATTGTATTACTATCACTTATTTATGTTTCTTATTAACTATTTTATGTATTTGGGTGCTTCCATGTTGGGTGCATAAATATGTACAATTGTTACAGCTTATTGTTGGATTATCCCCTTTATTATTATATACTGTCCTTCTTTGTCTCTTGTTACAGTCTTTATTTTAAAGGCTAATTTGTCCAGTATAAGTATTGCTACCCTGGCTTTCTTTTCATACCCCTTTGCATGATAAATGCTTTTTCTTCCCTTCGCTTTCAATTGTATGTGTCTTTAGGTCTGAGATGAGTCTCTTGTTAGGCAGCATATAGATGGATCTTGTTTTTTTAATCCATTCTCTCACCCTATGTCTTTTGATTGGAGCATTTCATCCATTTACATTCAAAGTAATTATCGATGGATATGTACTTAATGTCGTTTTGTTACTTGTTTTATTTTTGTTGTTTTTGTAGTTCTTCTGTGTTTCTTCTCTTGCTCTCTTCCCTCACAATTAGTTGGATTTCTTTAGTGATATACTTGGATTCCTTTTTATATTTTTCATTTGTTTTACTGGTTTTTTTTTTTAAGATTTTATTTATTTATTTGAGAGAGAGAGAATGAGAGATAGAGAGCACGAGAGGGAGGAGGGTCAGAAGGAGAAGCAGACTCCCTGCTGAGCAGGGAGCCTGATGTGGGACTTGATTCCGGGACTCCAGGATCGTGACCTGAGCTGAAGGCAGTTGCTTAACCAACTGAGCCACCCAGATGCCCTGTTTTACTGGTTTTTGACTTGTGGTTACCATTACGTTTGTATATAACATCTGCATATAGCAGTCTATATTGAGTTGATGGTTGCTTAAGTTTGAACTCATTCTTTACTCTCCCCACTTCCCATGTTTTAGGTATGTGGTGTCATACTTTACATCTTTTTATTTTGTGAGTCTCTTGACTGATATTTATATATATACTTATTTTTACTGCTTTTGTGCTTCCTACTTTTCTTACTCCTACTTATGGTCTTTCCTTTCACTCAAAGAGTCCCCTTTAACATTTCTTGTAGAGCAGGTTTAGTGGTGATGAATTCCTTTAACTTTTGCTTGTCTGGGAACTTCTTTCTCTCTCCTTCTATTCTGAATGATGGCCTTGCTGGACAGAATATTCTTGGCTGCAGAGTTTTTCCTCTCAGTACTCTGAATATATCATGCCACCTTTTCTGGCCTGCAAAGTTTCTGTTGAAAAATCAGCTGATAACCTTATGGGGTTTTCCTTGTATATAACTGTTTTCTCTTGCTGTTTTTAAAATTCTCTCTTTCAAGATTATGGATGTTGAAATTGCGGTGGCTGATTCTAAAAGTAGGATAAAGATAGAATGAAGTGTATGTGTGGGGATGGTTGGGGAGGAGTGTATATACAATACAAGAAAGAGAATATGAATCAGTGACAAAAAGGAAAAATTCTCTAAGAAGAAGAATGATTAAGAACATAAGCAGGATTTGCAACAGAATGAATGGACTTTGAAGGCACTGTGCTAAATAAAATAAGTCAGACAGAGAAAGACAAATACTGTATAATGTCACTGATATGTAGAAACAAACAAACAGAAAAGGAACTCAAAGATACAGAGAGTCAGATTGGTAGTTGCGAGAGGCAGGGATTAAGGGTGGGTGAAATGAGTGAAGATTGTCAAAAGGTACAAACTTCTGGTTATAAAACAAGTAACTCGGGGCACCTGGGTGGCTCAGTTTGCTAGGTGTCTGCCTTCGACTCAGGTCGTGGTCCCAGGGTCCTGGGATTGAGCCCCACATTGGGCTCCCTGCTCTGTGGGAAGCCTGCTTCTCCCTCTCCCACCCCCCCTGCTTGTGTTCTCTCTCTGGCTGTCTCTCTCTGTCAAATAAAATCTTAAAAAAAAAAAAAAAGTAACTCTTGGGATATAATGTACAGCATGGTGACTATAGTTGATAAGACTGTGTTGTGTATTTGCAATTTGCTAAGAGAGTAGATCTTTACAGTTCTCATTACAAGAAAAAAAACGTTTAACTGTGGTGATGGATGTTAACTATACTGATTATGACCATTTTGTTATATATACAAATACTGAATCACTATGTTGTATACCTGAAACTAATGTTACATGTCAATTAGATCTTAATTTTAAAAAACAAACATAAGTACTATCATTTAGCAAGTAGAGAGAGTTAAAAGAACGGGGAAAGAGAGGAGAACCTGGGTAGTTCATTTGGTTGAGCATCCAACTCTTGGTTTTGGCTCAGGTCACGATCTCAGGATCCTGAGATCTCTCACTCTCTCTCTCTCTAATAAATAAAACCTTTAAGAAAGAGAAGGGGAAAGAGAATAAGGCTTAGGAAGGGAAAATTTGCCAGAACCAGAACTCATAACTTAGAATTACCCTGCCAGATGAAAGATGTACCTTATGCAAAAGGGAAAGATGCCTTGGTTCCATAGAAAACTTTTTAGTTGAGAGTTAAAGTCTTATTGTAATGAAATCATTGGTCCTCAAGCTTCATAAACTCAAGATAGCATGAAAGAAAGCTCAGCTTTCATTATATGTGGCTCTTGAGCTGATTAGGAGTACAATGTTTTAAAAAGATGAATTGTAGTATTTTATGTGATACAAATCTAATATGTTTCCTTTCCAAAAATTGCCTATGCTTTTCCCTTTGCCAGATTTATCTTTTCCTTTATTTATTTTTTTTTAAGATTTTATTTATTTATACGAGAGAGTGCAAGAGAGTACAAGCAGGGGGAGCAGCAGAGGGAGAGGGAGAAGCAGGCTCCCCACTGAGCAGGGAGCCCAATGCGGGGCTCGATCCCAGGACCCTGGGATCATGACCTGAGCCGAAGGCAGATGCATAACCAGCTGAGCCACCCCAGGCACCCTTATCTCTTCCTTTAAAACATTCTACCTGGAGAACTGGTATACTAAATAAGAATATATAAATCTTTCATTATGACATATGTGAATATATAAATTTTTCACTATAATAAAAATAGCTTTAAATGTGTCTGTTTGCAATGACAGATACCAAAAGTTGGCACCTTTTCCCACTCAGATATTACTTTCATTGACACTTCTGTTTAATACTCTGTCATCCAGCTCTGCAGTTGCTGGAATGTGCTAGTGGACTGTCCCCAAACCCTTTCCGTGCTCTTTTCCCAGGCAGCCTCCCTGGAGTCACAGTTGCTTAATATAGTGACCATCCCAATTAACAATTTTCTAATAAGAAAGTGGTATGTTGAATAAGCAGTCTGGCAAATGTACAATTTGATAGAGATAAACTTTTTTTTAACCTAGAGTTTATATTAAGCCTAGACCTGATGAGAAAGGTGAGGATGTATGCCAAGGGAATGAGAGTTTAATAAGTCAGAGTTGAAGGGACTGAAGGTGGAAGAGTATGTAGTAGGTTCCATATAGCTGGGAAGAGACAATAAGATGACAGAACAGAGACTGCTCAACAAAGGACACGACTGACTCTGTCCTCTTCAACTTTTATCCCTGCCTTTTATTAGCTGTGTGACTTAGCAAGGGTTGTTGAGAGAATTAAAAACAATATTTTGTTATCTTAACTCAAGGTAGGACAAAGCTATGTCTTGAACTTCTTTTGAATCCTTCATAATATACTGATGAGCACAGAACAGGCATCCAGTAAGTACTGAGTTGATTAAAAGAAGAATTTTGTGTTTACATTTAAGAGAAGCTAATTTTAGAAGTACTTTGCTATCTGTAAGTTGGTAATAAGGGTGAAAAGAACCTGATTATCATCTGAAATTTGTTACATCAATGTAGTTTTATAATTAGATAATATAAGCATCCCCAGACATCAGTTTATTTATATGATAAAATACCATTTGCTTCAACAGTTTTGCTTCCAGAAGAATTGCTGTTTCAGAAGTTAGTGGTTAATAACAGATCATCTCTGGAGGGTAGAATTATAGGGACCTTTTACTTTCTAGGTTAAGTTATTTTCTGTTTGGTGTGCTGTTTTTTTAAAGTATATTACTTTGTAATCAGAAACAAATTTAAGTTGGTATTGGAGATAGATTTTAAAAATAACTGTACTTGGCAGAGATTTGCTGAAGTTCCTGTGTATGTTTATACAGGGAGAGCATGAAGGCAGTGACAAACACTGAAGACAGAGAAATGAGGAGAAAGAAGGAAGAATATTTAACTTTTAGTCCTCTAACAGTTGTAATATTTGTGGTCGTGTGCTGTGTTATGATGGTCTTACTTTATTTCTTCTACAAATGGTTGGGTAAGAAGTCATATTTTATATTTGCTTCAGCCTACAAGTTTTTTATTTACTTCACTAGATTTAGGTATTATGCCCAGAAAACTTAAGCAAATAATTAAAAAGTGATGATAACTTTTAAACTGTCAGGAGTGTTGGATCCCCATCACTCTGGGATAAAAAATACTCAGATTAAAAGTATCCTGTGTCTTTGAGATAAGAACAGTTCTTCATGGATGACTTGAAAGAACTGCTGTGGCCCCTAAGTTTCCATCTCTGCAGATAAAGCTGGAGAGCCCAGTATCTAAGCAGCAGACTAAGGACTTCTTGGTGACTATATTTAGTTACACGAAATAGAAGATTATTCACATTACTAATTTATCGCCTCTGCTTACTCCCAAAGTATGCTTTATTGCTCAGATTTTGTTGGACTTGTGTAAACAGTCAAGATCATACTACATCTAAAGACACACAAGTACTTGCCTGTGGTCTAAATAATAACGGGTACTTTTCCTTTAAGGAGGTAGGGGTAGGAACTGTAAGGGCTTGCCCATCCCTTGGGTGTTAGTGGTCTGAAAGAATGGAAATTTGCTATCTCTGGCCAATGCACAGCACAGAGAGGAGGGAAAAGGGAAGTGTGCCTGGTAGGGAACTAGCAAAAACCCTTTGTAAAAACCACCACAGGCTACAGTGCTTCTTTGGAGAACATTAGCATGATTTTCTGGACTAGAAAACTGAGGCACTTGGGTTAGTTTCAGCTTATTGTCCCAATTTCTCTTGTCCTGTGGCAGCATTAAAAACTAGACCTATGACCTGTATTTCCAATTAGAAAAAAGAATTATTTGAATGCCGCTCATTTCAATCTGTTGCTGGGAGAGTAGATACTAGGATAGTTATTTGTATTACATTGTCATTGTGCAGATAATTTTTCTAATTTAATACTTAGCCTTCAGTTGTTCGTGTCTGACCCTCAGTCAATTAATTAGTGATCTTTGATAGAAAAAAGAGATTCCTTTACCTTACCCTAAAGCATATTTTCATTTTTGGTGAGAAATTTCCTTAAACTTACCGGTATTTGAAAAGTTGACCTTGCTTATAAATGTAATTTTTTGTGTAGAAAGAAATCATTAAACCTCACGGTTATCCTGGGACATGGGAGTTAGTTATGACTCTTACAAAATCTATGTGATATTGCAAGATTTAATGTACCTCAAATGGTTCCTAATGGCCAAAGTTGCTGCCATTTTTAATATACGAAATATATCAAATTGCTAAGGTTCCCCCTACCATTTCATGTTAAGTCATGCTCAAGAAAGTAACTAAAGATGGTTATATTAACCAGACGCTTTCTCATGCCTAATTATTTTCCTAGTTTACTATGACATTGAATGAAATACCCAAAACTCTGTTAGGGTCTCAAGAACATGCTTTCTACCTAACTTTTAAAACCTGGGTTGGTGACCTTTGGTGGATGACTTACCAAACATAACTTGGCAGTCTTTATCTTTCTTTTACTGCTCACATTACCATATATAACTAGTAATAACAAATAACAAATAATAACAAGGGACTAAAAAAGTAATTTGTCCAAGTTCACCAGTTAGAAAGCGGTCAACAGTTAAAAACAAGGATATCAGAAAATTTGGGGATGGTATCTGTGTTTCTGAAAAAGGAACAGTTCTGCAGACTCATGAATAAGATCTAAGTTGTCCAGCTGCGGAAATAACAAGATGCCGGATGATTTTTCAGACTTTTCTATGACATTTTAAAGGTGCAATAAAAGCTGTATTGATTTAAAAAAGAAGAAGAAAGAAAATGGCTATCCCTGATTTACTATATCTAGAGTACTCTCTTTAACCTACAGAACAGTTACAATTTTCTGAAATTTAGTAGAATTTGAAGAAGTCAGGTAAAATTTGTATTTCCATTGGGAAATTTTGAGAAAGTTAAAATGAATATTTTATTTTAGAGTACAATAATTTCTCCCCCTTTTTAAGAATAAGGAGATCAGATGTAATTTTAAATAATTTTCAAAATACAGCTAATATAGACAAATATTTGTGAATTTAACTACCTTAGTTTCATATCATAACAGTGGTTTGTTTAAATGGATTTGGTTTTACTACAGTCAAATAATTAGAGATAAATTCCACCAGAGGAAAATACAGATAGCATAGTTAATGTCTAAGGTAGATGTCAGTTCTCATCCCTAAGCTGCATTTTTAAAAGCGTTTCTACTCCTTCCTTAATTTGCCTGTTCCTTACATTTAAGTACTTATAAGTGCCTGCAACTCACTTCATAGACATCTCTAACAGACATGTTAGTTTGAATCATTAAATGATAGAAAATGTAGAGCCAGCTTCAGCCCTTGAGCAATCCTACCAATGTGTAATGGAACTAAAACAACACATAAAATACCCACTTTTCAATAAAACTCAAGATCTAAATATTTTCAGCTTAGTACAATTCAGATCATTATACGGTCACTGCATTGAAAGTATCACGATGCAGTAAGAAAGCTAGATAATATGCTTGTATAAATATTTTCTGATCACATTTCCTTCTGTTCTCATATAATTTAGTGTCTTGTTTTTTTCTAGTTTATGTTATGATAGCAATTTTCTGCATAGCATCAGCAATGAGTCTGTACAACTGTCTTGCTGCACTCATTCATAAGATACCATGTGGACGATGCACGTATGTATCTCTTACAAGTAATCTTGTAACATTGGTATTTGTAATTTAAAACAATACAGGGAAAAGTAGAAGTGGTATTTTAAACCTGTGTAAGCCAGTACACATGTGGCTATTAAAATTTAAATTAGTTAAAATTAAATCAATTTAAAAATTCAGTTCCTCAGTCTCATTAGCTGCATTTCAAATGCTAAATAACCACATGTAGCTAGTGGCTACTGTACTGGGCAGCACAGATACAGAATATTTTCATCATAGACAGTTCTATTGAACTGATAAATATTTCTGGATGTATTATTTGTTTTACTTAAATTAGGACTTTTAAGTTGATATTTTAGTAGCCTTCTTGTGACTGTGGTTGACATTTGTCATGTCCCATGTTTAAGTGAACATTATATTTCACCTACAGAGTAAACTGACCTATTTCAATCTATTTTTTAGGATTATGTTTCGTGGCAAAAGCATTGAAGTGAGGCTTATTTTTCTCTCTGGACTATGCATAGCAGTAGCTGTTGTTTGGGCCGTATTTAGAAATGAAGATAGGTATGAGTACTCAGTGTATTTGCTTTTAGATTAAGAATGCATGGTTTTCTGTCTTACTTGGTAATTACGCATTATGATTATTATGGATTTCTTTTTGCTTTTATTCCAGAACACCATAGTCTGGAAATAAGCTAAATAAGTACTTAAATAAACAGATCTTGTGCTAATGGATTTAAGGGCATATAGACAAGAAAATATGTATTATGATTTAAACATCTAAGCTGAAATAGGCTTCAAAAATATACTTAATTACATCCACATGATGAAGTACAATGTGGCCATAAAGGGTGAAGAAGATCTCTGTGAATTGATATGCAGTGATTTCTAGGATGTATTTTTAAGTGAAAAAAGATTATATAGAGTATGCTACCTTTTACGTAAGAAAGGAAATATAAGGAAATATACAGGTATCTGTCCATTTGCAGGAAGGATAACCAGAAAAAAATGTTTAACTTCTTAATGGTTAATTAATAAAATTATTAAAGGCCAAAACCACTTGTAGCCTAAAATTTGGAAGCAAAGTTTAATACAATTTTAGGCAGCTTCAGTTGATAATTATGCATATCAGTTCCTGGTAGATTATGTTACATAGCTCTCATTTCCTTTAGATTCCAACTATCTGGACATACGTTAACACCAATATTCTTTGTTATGAGCTACCTTTCGAAAAGAAACATGTATAAGTTCAAAGATTAAAGATAAGTATGTACTATATCCGATGTATGTTCTGAGGTAGCCTTTCAACTTTTCCTTAGTATAGTAGTGTTCATTATTCTACTAGGACAGCAAATTAATAAATATGGAGTATATGAGAGGTTTTTTGTCATTATACTTGCTGCTTAATAATCAAATAGTCAAATCATAACAATTGAAGATACTACATTAGTGATCAATTTCTTTTGAGAAGTCCCATCTAAGAATAACTACATAAACCAATAGAGTAACTTCTTTTGATTTTAGGTGGGCTTGGATTTTACAGGATATCTTGGGGATTGCTTTCTGTCTGAATTTAATTAAAACACTGAAGTTACCCAACTTTAAGGTAAAGTATACTGCTTTGCTAACTAAAATAATTTTTTCTTTTTAAAACAACTTTATTTGAGTATAATTTACATGTAGCAAAATGCACCCATCTTAAGTTTATGGTTTATGAAGTTTTACAAATGAATAACTTTGTAGCCACCATCCCAATCAATTATAGATTTCTCATCTCTTCAAAAGCTCTGTCCTGCCCTTTAGCAGTCAGTCCTAATCACCAGCTGTAGCCAACCACTGATTTGCTAGCTAAAATATTTTTAATCATTTATATAATATGCCAAATTCATAAAATCCTTACAGACAAAATATCAACGAAGAACATTTCTTTGAGTTAGTGATTCCTTTTTTTTTTAAAGAATGGGATAAACAAGATAAAATTTCTAATGTGATTTGTAGAATAAAACTACAAATAGTGATAACCGTTAAATGCCTTTGAAAAAATAGTGTTCAAATGTAATTTAGTATATTTATTTGTACTTGCAAAACAGTATAATCTCTTAATTTACATGGAAGTTTGACCTTTGAATTTTTTCTTTTTTCAACAGTCATGTGTGATACTTCTAGGCCTTCTCCTCCTCTATGATGTGTTTTTTGTTTTCATAACACCATTCATCACAAAGGTATGATATTTTTGAAATCTGTGAGAGACATGCTAAAAGAAGAGAATCTTAAGCCTGCTCTTGGATAACTGATTTTGCAGATGTTTACCATTAAGTGGGTACTAATTCTCTTTTGAAAATTGTCATTGAAGTTAGCCTTTTAATAGAGGATTTTTTAAGCCTTTAAGTCATTCTGCTAAATGAAAAATGTCTCCTGGCTGATCATGAGAATATCTATAAATGTTCTTCCTATCCATTTTAAAGTAACTTTTCTTTTTTTTTTTTAAGATTTTATTTATTTATTTGACAGAGAGAGAAAAAGCGAGAGAGAGAACACAAGCAGGGGGAGTGGGAGAGGGAGAAGCAGGCTCCTCACTGAGCAGGGAGCCCAATGTGGGGCTCGATCCCAGGACCCTGGGATCATGACCCGAGCAGAAGACAGACGCTTAACGACTGAGCCACCCAGGCACCCTAACTTTTCTTATTATAAAACAACAAATTTTTGCTGTAGACAATATAAACAGCAAAAAGAATGAAAATGCATCCTTGCTACTTTCATTTCTGTACCCCTAGTTTAAGACTAAGAAAGAGCTCCACACTGAAAGTCTGAAGACCTGAACTGTAGCCCTGTAACCTTCTTATCCTGGCAAGTCACTCAGCACTTTGTGCTTCCGGTTCCTAATCCATTGTGTGAGGGAGTATTGCTAGCATTCCAGCCTCCCTCTTCCATCAGTAGATTTCTTCTGGTTGGAACCGACAGAATGCAGTCTAAACTTTCTATACCACAAAGGTCCCTTCTCTCCAGCCTGTGTATAGAGGCCAAGGTGGAGCTGGCCTCAGAAGAAACTAGATCCAGGGGCACATACTCTTCCTTTCCACTTCTGTCCATTGTATTCGTTGTCCCAGACTAGCTTTTTCTATGAGGTTAGAGTCATAGCAGCTGACAGCTCCTCATTCACCTATCCCCACCCCCACCACTAGCTCTTCCATAAAATAGCGATGCTATTCCCAGAATAAGGGAGAGGTGTTGGGTGAGTTTGGTAGTCCTTCATTATTTACCGTTTTTCTACTTGTCCCTATTTCTGTCTCACGAGTATTTTATTGCTCAGTTCTCCTGCATTCCCCATTTTATGTTGTCTTATTTTGATTCAGTATTTGATACTGTAATTACTGCATTTTTTCCCCATTAGTTCTTTATCTCTTCTTCAGCCCCTACCATGTGTGAAATCACTGTAAAACTGCACTTTTAATATTTGCTATAATGGCATAAACATGTGGCACAAAGATGTGCCCTATTGGGGAGCTAAAGTGCAAGTAGGTAGTTAATGTAGTTAACTGCCCCAAGTAACCAGTCCATTTTACTAGCATCTTTCTGTGCCTCAGTGATGAGCCATTTGAGTCATTGACTTCATTGAGCAAAAGTAACCTTTTTAAAGCATAAAATTAGTATTATGGATTATAGCCAAAAAAAGTCCGTTAACATCTAAAACTAATGATGTAATGTATGGGGATTAACATAAGAATAAAAAAAAAAAAGTCAGTTAATGAAAGCTTTCTATCTAAAGCCATCCCAGTTTGTGTCAATTTATTTGGTTCAAAAAAATATTTCCGTAAGTCCCTGCAAAGTGGTCTCATAGTGAAAGTAAAGTGTTCTCTGTACAAAACCATGCTCTTAAGTCAGCAGATGGTCATAGCATATGGCCCATATATTACACAGGGCACACAGATACGAACTGTAACTAAACCCTTTAACTTTTTTTCCATTCAGTTTTGTTTGTTTGTTGTTTTTTAGAGGGAGAGAGGTCGGGAGAGGGATAGAGGGAGAGGGAGAGCAAGAATCTTTTTTTTTTTTTTTTTTAAGATTTCATGTATTTATTTGTCAGAAAGAGAGAGAGAGCACAAACAGGGGGGAGTGGCAGGCAGAGGGAGAGAGAGAAACAGGCTTCCCGCTGAGCAAGGAGCACGATGTGGGACTCGGTCCCAGGACCCTGGGATCATGACCTGAGCCGAAGGCAAATGCCTGACTGACTAAACCACCCAGGTGTCCCAGAGGGAGAGCAAGAATCTTAAGCAGGCTCCATGCCCAGCGCAAGCTTGAGATCATGACCTGAGCCAAAATCGAGTTAGATGGTTAACAGACTGAACTACCCAGGCGCCCCTCCATTCGGTTTTAACACTAGTATCACTTTATAAATGTTAACTGTGTCTGCCAGCAAACTATTTGCATTCCTTAAACATAAAAAGTTTCAGAATTTTAAAGATACAGGATAATAATAAAGATGTCTTTGAGGCCTCTTTCTTTATTCTCTGCCTAGAGAATTTTTCATCTTCTTTTTTCCATATTTGTTCCCTGTGACTAGGAATGTGATTTCTAGTAATCTGATCTGGTAGAAAAGATTAGAAGTGCTCTTTGGAGTTCACTAGTGTAGATTTATTTTAACACCTTCTCAGTCTGGTTTGTTTGTTTTTATTAAGGCTATAGACCTTACTTGAGAAAGTAACTCAAAATGAAAATCATTGGACATTTTTTTTTTAAAGATTTTATTCATTGGCTAGAGAGAGAGAGAGAGTGAGAGTACAAGCAGGGGGAGTGGCAGGCAGAGGAAGTAGGCTCCCCGCTGAGTAAGGAGCCCGATGCGGGACTCAATCCCAGGACCCTGGGATCTGACCTGAGCCGAAGGCAGACGCTTAACCCACTGAGCCACCCAGGCGTCCCTCATTGGACATTTTAAACGTGTCTTTCAACTCTGGTGTTAGCAGAGTTTTAATGAGTAAGCAGAGGAGGTGGCCACAGGAGTATAGGCAATAAGAACCTGTCTTCAGGGCCGTCGGGATGGTTCAGTCAGTTAAGCCTCCAACTCTTGCTTTCTGGCTTGGGTCATGATCTCAGGGTCGTGAGATCGAACCCGTGTTGGGCTCCACACTGGGCATGGAGCCTGCCTGGGATTCTCTCTCCCTCTCTCTCTCTGCTCCCCCGCCCCCGTCTCCCTCTCTCTACAAAAAAACCCCTGAAAAACCTGTCTTCATTTTTTTTCCATCCACCCTTGTAACTTGGTAGAGTATATTACAAATAGTAGTTACTCAGATGTCTTTGAATGTAGGAGAGGATGTCAGTGATGGCCTTCACTTAAGTGTTTTAAATAACAATTAGAAAACCAAAATGAACTCTGCCTGGAAATTAAATCACATTATGGGAGTTTGCTGTAAGGGATTGTATTTAATATTAGTCTATTTTCCTAAACTCCTGTGATTTAACCCTTCTGTAACCCAAAGTATAACATGAGGGAAAGAGTTCTATAGCTAGAGATTATCTCCTTCTTTCTACTCAGCTCAGATGTCAGTGAAGTCCTCTTAAAAACACTAAAGTGATTTTTCCTATGCTCCCCACCCACATGGAAAATATTATAGTTACTTGATCAAATTCTCCTTAAATTCGGCATTTATTTATCTTCCCACTACCTGTTTGATGATATATTCGTCATAATGTAAAGCATAGATGGCTGCTCATGTAATCTTCATTTGCTACCTTAAAATGTTTCCCCTTCACAACAGACTTGGCTGTCAGGAAAGAAGTATTAAGGGGCTCCTCACACAGCCCACATAAAAAGACCTTAGCCAGACACAATGGATGAAATTCAGCTAAGGTTAATGTTTTGATTGGGACATAAAAAGCTGGCAGGGCTGAAACTGGACAGGAGACAGGCTACAGAAGCTTCTCAAGTTCTTTAGGGCTGGGTCTTTTCAAGTTTGGCTTCATTGTTATGGTGAGTAGCTAGGAGGTCAATTGTATTTTTATTCAAATAAAGTTACCAATATTTATTACAAATCTAAATACAAAAGATTTTAGTATTTGTGTCTCTATTCATTGTTACTGCTAAAAATGACTAAGGACACATAGTACATGACATAATGTAACTACAAGAACTTAAAATTTATCATCTATCAGACGAGATCGGGCGCGTTCAGGGTGGTATGGCCGTAGACAAAATTTATCATCTATCAAAAATGCCAGCTATATTGCACAAACAATGACTCATGGAACACTACATCAAAAACTAATGATGTAATGTGTAGTGACTAACATAACAATGAAAAAGTAAAAAAAAATTATAAGCCATAAAAAAGAAAATGCTAGCTATAGTTGTCAGTATAGATCAGTGCCCAGAGCTTCACTTGAATAATGTGTGTATGGTTTATCTGCTAGTTTGTGATCATTGTTGAGCTCTAATGAATGGAGCAATATGCTTGATGAATTTTGTTTTAGATGGCCCCAACTTTTGCTGGACTTTTTAAGGAAAACTGTCTACAGCCCATTTTTTAACCAGTTTACTGTAGGCCATTACCCAGGGGGTCAAATCATTCTTAAATACTGGTAGATTGTTCTCTTTAAATGATTGGGCAATTTCTTTCATCTTCTTCTTCAATTTTAGAATGGCGAGAGTATCATGGTTGAACTTGCAGCTGGACCTTTTGGAAATAATGAAAAGGTAGGGATGGCAATTAACTAGAGATGGCTACCAGTATATATATGTGTGTCCAGTTAATAATTTTGCCTTCCTGTGTAATTCATTGGTCATGTAGTGCATGTTAAGGTATTGTAAAACTTTATTTCTCACAAAATATAGCCCTTTTCTTAGTTATTCTAAATTATTAAATACCTATTGACTTGGGTTTCATCCTAGAATGATGGAAACTTGGTGGAAGCCACTGCTCAACCCTCAGCTCCCCATGAGAAAGTAAGGATTGTATTTCAGATATGTTCATTGGACTTTAAATCATACCCTCTGAGACAAGACTCTTCTTTGGGGGAAAAAAATCCAGATTTAAAAAAAAATCTCTTTCAAGGCCTAAGTCCTATTTTTGGTAAAAAGGAAAGAAAAAATAAATAAATAAAGGTTAGATGTGGGGATACTGGATTAATACTGTTAACCCTGATGTGTGTTGGGTTTCATTTTTCCGAAACTGTGTATCTATTTCTTTCAAGCTCTCTGTGCATTCAGAGTATATGTGTGTGTAGTTTATGTTCTCTGATTTCAGTTTCTTCTGTCTATTTAAAAATGTTAAAACAATTACTCTAATATCAATCCTTCCCTCTCTAAGAGATACGGGTAAAGATTTCTAAGAGGTTTATTAGTGCCCTTTTTTTTTTTTTTTTTCCATAATTACAGTTACCAGTAGTCATCAGGGTACCAAAGCTGGCCTATTTCTCAGTAATGAGTGTGTGCCTCATGCCAGTTTCAATACTGGGTTTTGGAGACATTATTGTACCAGGTAAGCAATTGTTTTTAACAATTCAGTAAAAATATACTGATGGTTTAAAATTGCCAAATGTTTAGTATCTATTAAAAGTTAACTTATTCTGTGTTAAGTACTTGTGGCTATTGCTAGAGCTGCGATCAGTGACCAAAATAGAAAAAAAGCATTTCGAGGGGTAGAAGATAAAGCCCAAATGGTAACAACCAAAGTATATCTCCCATGGCTCAGAAGGTGTCTTAGAGGAAGCACCTAGGATCAGTTTGACCTACTGCCCCAAGAAAGTATATAACAAAACTCTTTAAAAGTTGAATTTAACAATACCAAATGTATTGCAGTTTCTATGACTTCTATTTTAAAATAATAGTTATGTGTTATGAAAAGTGGTCTAGGAATACCAGGGAAGGTCATGATCAAGAGAAGAAACAGAACACCAGCTTCTGGGGCATTATAATACAAAAAATATAGCATATGGTGTATCTTCTCTGCATTATTCTCACTGGGCCACCTATAGAATAAACTTAATCCCAGCCCAGGAATAATATAACTTAGAAGTAATAACTAGTCTTTCTTAATCAGCTGAGAGTTTGTCCTTCACTTTTCTTACAGTCTGTCTGTACTAACTGCCTGCAGAGGGGTAAAAAGTATAGGCTGTTCTGCAAAAGCCCTTTCATTTACATAGTAAGGCCAGGTAGAGACAGAGAAGCCAACAGCTCTGCCTTGTGAGTTGGCATGGCAAAGTCCAGTGTAGCAACTCTCTTAGTTCATTTTCTAGGAAAGATCACGAGTTAGGCCACAGAGCAAATCTAAGCAAATTTAAGAAGATCGAAATTACATACCAAGTATATTTTTTGACCACAATGGTATGAAACTAGAAATCAATAACAGGAGGAAAACTGGAAAATTCACAAGTACATAGAAATCAAACAAAATAGTTTTGAACAACGAGTACATCAAAGAAAAAATTAAAATAGAAATTTAAAAATACCTTGAGAAGAATGAAAAGAGAAACAACATCCCAAAACTTATGGGATGCAACAAAAGCAGTTCTAAGAGGGACGTTTATAGTGATAACCACATACATCGAGAAAATAGAAAAGCAGATAAGCACCCTAACTTTATATATAGGGAACTGGAAAAAGAAAAACCAACTAAGCCCAAAGTTAGCAGAAAGAGGGAAATAATAGACTACAGCAGAAATAGAGAACAGGAAAACAGTAGAAAAGATGAATAAAACTAAGAGGTGGTTTTTTATTTTATTTTTAGATTTTTTTAAATGTATTTATTAGAGAGAGCGAGAGAGAGAACACGAGAGGGGGAAGAGCAGAGAGAGGGGGAGAAGCAGACTCCCTGCTGAGCAGGGAGCCCGACTCAGAGCTCGATCCTGGGACTCAGGGATCATGACCTGAGCCGAAGGCAGACGCTTAACCAACTGAGCCACCCAGGTGCCCAAGAGTTGGTTTTTTAAAAAGATAAAAATGACAAACCTTCGGGTGCCTGGGTGGCTCAGATGGTTAAGCCTCTGCCTTCGGCTCAGGTTATGACCCCAGGATCCTGGGATTGAGTCCCACATCCGACTCCCTGCTCAGCGGAGAGCCTGCTTCTCCCTCTCCCTCTGCACCTCCCCCTGCTCATGCTCTCTCTCTCTATCTCTCTGTCTCAAATGAATAAATAAATAAATAAAACCTTAGAAATGACAAACCTGCAACTAGACTAACCAAGAAAAAAAGAGAGAACCCAAATCAATAAAATCATAAATGAAAGAGGAGACATTATAACCACAAAAATATAAAAAAAATTTCTCTGTGTCGTGGAATATTAAGCAGCCAATAAAAACTCATGCTTTTAAAGACTGTTTAAGGGTTTGGGAAAATGTTTAAAAATGGCATTAAGTTAAAAAATCATATAGAATTTTGTCCAGAATATGAGGTACCTTAATGTTCTCACGATGCAATAATGAATGTTAAATACAATATAGCATGTAGTGTTGCCATAATTAATAGTTGAATTGTATTGCTGTTACTGTTTTAAGAAAATAATGTGTTTGGTGGTGTTTTGTTTTGTTTTGTTTTGTTTTGTTTTTTAGGCCTGTTGGTTGCATACTGTAGAAGATTTGATGTTCAGACTGGTTCTTCTTCTATATACTATGTTTCCTCCACAATTGGTAAATTTTTGTTTTGTTTTTCTATTCTGTTGAATTGTATTGTCTATAGGAAAAGGTCGAGGTCTAAAAATACGGAGTCCTGGATTCTAATTCTTCATCATTAATTAATAAGACAAGTTTTCCCATCAAAAAGGAATAATACTTTACTATCTATATCATAAGTTTTTGAGGTTTAAAAAATTATATGTGAAAGAAAATCATTAGATTTTATGTCTTAAATGCTTATTAGAGCATCTGGCACACAAGTAGACAATAAATTGTATAATATTAGATTTTCTTAAAATACTATATGAATGACAATGTATTTATATAAATGAATTTATGGCACAATAACATCTCACCTGCGACAGCAGAAGTAGTTGTCATTTATCCCTCTATTTCTCTTACTGAGAACAGACAAGAACAGGAAGCAAGCCAAAAAATACTTAACTTCTAAACATATCAAACAGGTATCTCGAAGTCCATACACCAGAGTTCTTTATTCCTAGGTAAGTGGCCTGCTTCAGAGCCATTTAGATACTGTTCTGGCAAGGTTTTCAATTCCACAGTGGAGTTAAATGCAGTAAATTAAAAGCGTATGCTAGCAGTAGAGAAGACTATTACTAGGAATGGATACCCGACAGCAAGAACAGCTAAGTGAGTGAAAAGATGATGAAAAGAAAAAAAAACTATAAAGAAATAAGAAAAGCAGTTCGAGGCTATTGAAAATGGTATTGTCTGAGGGCATAACTGTATTAAAGTCCAGCACCAGTCAGTGTGGTAGAATACAAGAACACTCAATGCAAAGGCAGGTAAGAAGGCTCTCCGTCCACTGTGCTGTGTAACTTCGGGCAGTTCACGTAACTTCCCTAGTCCTCCATTGCCTCGTCCATAAAGTCAGGAGGTAAACTGACCTGTCTATAAAGGCTCTCCTAGCTCCAGTATTCTAAGATCCTGTGTTCATGGTGAGACGCTGAATCATTAAGGAAAGCTCAGATGATGTTTGGTATGCACTTGTTGAAGAAGTCCAGGAAGTATCTAATCAAAATGAGGAAGATTTTCCAAAGCAAGTTTTAGTACCTACAGGTACATATTTTAGTTATCTAAAATGTGCAACAACTCAACATCCTTAACAGTGACAGATAATGGAGACTTCTTTGAATTATTAGCTTTGTCGATGATTAATGATGAGGGTAATTATAATTGAAATACTAACCAGTTTTCAAACTTTCACAAGCAGTGAGGTATGTATGTCTCTCCTAATGGCTGTCTAGGAAAATAAAATCAGGAAAAATGTGGGCAACCCCCTCGGGTCCCCTCCCTCCTTGGGAGCTTTGTATTATCACTTTGCTATCGCTCAATAAACCTTGCTTTGCTGCCCACCCCAAAAAAATCAGGGAAAAAGTAATAGGACAAAAATGTCCTCAGAAATATTTGAAAACCACCACTTCAGTAAAGGAGTCAAAATCCACTTTGGTAGCATGTAGAGATGACTGATAGTCGGTGTTCTTCTTACAGCCTATGCGGTTGGCATGATACTCACATTTGTTGTTCTGGTGCTGATGAAGAAGGGGCAGCCTGCTCTCCTCTATTTAGTTCCTTGCACGCTTGTTACTGCCTCAATTGTTGCTTGGAGACGTAAGGAAATGAAAAAGTTCTGGAAAGGTAGCGGCTATCAGGTATGTGCTTCTATCTCAGTTACCGAGTTATGACGTAATTTAGTGACTGACTTTGGCTGGGAACCGCCTTATATATATCAAAGCTTTTATGTGCCCCAAAGTTTCCTTGCATCTATTAGGATATTCCAGGTTTTTTCCACCATTACCACCTTACTGTCTACCTGCTGCTCAGTAGTTCTCATCCCTGCTACAGTTGGTTGCCAAAACCCTGGTGACTCAAGCTAAAACTACCAAGAATAGTGGGAGGGCAACAGGGAAAACCAAAACAGCATTTCAACATGAGTTTTCAAATCCACACAAAAGTAGACTTCGTGAAAAATAATACTATGTTAAGTACTGAGTTTTTGAGACTGATATTAGCTCTTTATAGTAAGAGTTCCTGAGGTTTTGCAGATATAAAATGTGTACTTTCTTCAGCACTTAAATGGGTCTACCTAAATTAAATAGGGTACCCATTTCAGATTTAAATGGATTAAGAATGACTTCCCTGGAACAGAGAAAATCATGATATCAGAATCTATTATGTTTGAGTTTTTTCTTCATTGAAGTTAAACCCCTTTCTTCTTTTCCTAAATGTTCTTGGTATTCCAGTAAAGCTTGTTTCCATTGAAATTAAAGAGGGTTAGGAAACTCTAGCCGATTAAAGGTCAGGGCCGTGGCACCGACCCCCAAAGCAGTTAGCTCTGCTTTGCCCTATTACAACAAACTCCCCTCCTCCATCTGCCCTCATACATGCGTGTTAGTGGTCACATGAACAAAAATAGAAGTACTTTGGGTGGATGCCTGCAATTCTGCTAGTAGATAAACAGTTCAAAGTTCATATCCACCTTGTGGTTGGTCTGTAGCATCATCTTTATTTAACAAGAGATGATTAACTTATTAAGTTAGACTACTATATTTGGAAGAAGCACTGGTCTAGAATTATTTTGGGTAAATCTTATAATTCCTTTGAAATTGGGTTAAGATGATAATACCTGCCTTGTCTACTTCACAATGCCATTGTCTCAACTTATATTTATGCACAAAGAATTATGGCCACAAGGCCCTTAACTAAACTAGTAAGATAGCTTGTAACTTTTACATGAAGAGGACACCCACGTAGAGATTTTTATTTTTATAGATTTGTCCTACAACATATACTGTTAGCCTTTGAAAGTCACAACCCAAAAAGTGCTCTTCATAATCATTTTCTTAAAACAGTTTCATATTTCTTCATTTAGTAAATGTTAATTGAGCAGCTCTATGAGCCAGGTGCTATTTTAGGTGCTGTTGATAAAAGATGAATAAGTTAGTAACAGGCCTACTCTCATGGCCTCTTGAAAGTTAGAGTCTAGTAGAGAATGCAGATAGTCACTAACAAAGTGTGATAACTGTATTTCTTAGTCATGGTAGGGTGCCATGAAAGCTAGCAGTCGGACACCCAGTGCTTGTCGTTTTGTGACAGTCAAAGGTGATTTAGGGAGGGCTTTTTTTTTTTTTTTTTTAACGATTTTTATTTATTTGAGAGAGAGAGAATAAGTGGGGGAGGGACAGAGGGAGAAGCAGAGGGAGACTCCGCACTGAGCAGGGAGCCCCATGTGGGGCTTGATCCCAGGGGGGAGCCCTGGGATCATGACCTGAGCTGAAGGCAGACACTGAACCGACTGAGCCACCCAGGCAGCCCTTAGGGAAGGCTTCTTAAAGAATGTTAAATTTATGTTGAAACTTTAAGACTGAGCCATGTGTTCCATATGGAGGGAACTATGTCTTGAAAGGCTCAGAGGGAAGAGAGCATGGCACATTCTAGGAACTGAATGAAGTTTAGGATGACTATAATATTGAGTAACAGCAGGAAATGAAAAATGGAGAAGGAAGCAAGGGTAAGAGCCTATAGGGTCTTGGAAGCTAAAGACCATTGAAGAGGTCTTTGAACTCTATCTTGAGAGCATTGGAGACCATTTAAGGGTTTTAAGGAATCTGCAAAATGGACTGAAGAAGGGAGCAAAACTTAAAGCACCTATTACAATGAGAAGCAATAGTAGCCAGAATTAATAAGGTAGTGAGATCAAAAGAGGACAAAGTCAAGAGAAATTTGGAGGCATAATTAATGGAACATGGTAATAGTGTCAGTATAGGGAGAGAAGGAAGTGGAGTCCAGGATTTCTGCCTTAGGTAACTGGGTGGGTAGGAAGTGATACCATTCACAAGTTTAAAGAAGAAGAAGATGAATTCGATGAAGTACATGTAGGACCAACAGGAAGAGAGAAATAAGCAGTTGAATAAATGTCTCCTTATGTCCAGAAAACAGACCTAGCTAGAGAAAGAAATTTGGAAGCATCATTAGCATACTCGATGAGTAAGAACATAGAGGGAGAAGAGAAAACTCAGGACAGAACTGTGAGCAAGAGGTTTTTACAATTAGATGCACTTATCTGATTCACCAATTATGAGGTAAATTAGGACAGGGAAGATGAGCAACATAGGGAAATTTTGTTTGGGGTCAGTATTAAATCGTTTTTCAGGTTAGCAGGACTGTCAGTGAGAGTACACATACTGTCTTACAGGATTAAGTATGTTTCTTGGTATTTTCATCACCAGCATTTTTACTTATAAAATTTTCCTTCCCCTTTAATACAGCTTATAAAGCATTTTATTTATTTTTTATTTTTTATTTTTTTTTGAGTAGGCCCATGACCAGCACAGAGCCCAATGTGGGGCTTGAACTCAGGACTCTGAGATCAAGACCTGAGCGAAGATCAAGAGTCAGAGGCTTAACCAACTGACCCTCCCAGGCACCCCAGCAATGTGTGCTTATTGAGGCGCCTGGGTAGCTCAGTTGGTTAGGCTTCGGACTGTTGATTTCTGTGCAGGTTGTGATCTCGGGGTCATGAGATCCAGCCCCCCTGTTGGGCTCCGTGCTGGGCGCAGAGCCTGCTTGAGATTTTTTCCTCTCCCTTTGCCCCTCTCCCACTGCACGCACATTCTCAAAGGAAAAAAAAAAAAGGGCACCTGGGTGGCTCAGTCGTTAAGCATCTGCCTTCAGCTCAGGTCATGATCCCAGGGTCCTGGGATCGAGCCCCGCATCGGGCTCCCTGCTCTGCGGGAGGCCTGCTTCTCCCTCTCCCACTCCCCCTGCTTGTGTTCCCTCTGTCTCTGTGTCTGTCTAATAAATAAATAAAATCTTTAAAAAAAGGAAAAAAAAAAAACGTTTACTACAGAAGATTTTGAAAATGTAGAAAAATAGAAGAAAATTAAGTCCACCTATAATTCCACCATCTAGAGGTAGCCACTCTTAGGATTTAATCACTTAAATCCCCTTCTGGGCCTTCCTAGGTAAATGATACCATACTCTATCTAAAGAGTTCTCTCTTTTGCTTTCTCACTGCATGTTTTGTGTTATTTCATTTTTAAATTTCTTGTAAAAAGTCATTTTAATGCCTGTGCAATATTCTCATACACATGTGCTGTATTTTACCATTTCCTTTGACCCAGTAATTTCTCTTCAGGGGATTGTCCAGAAAGTGATTAAAAATTTGGGCAAAATTGATGTGAAAAGATGTTCATTAAAGTACTTCTGATTATCTTTGATTTATTTTAATGTCTCATAGGTTAACATTTTTAGTGGCAGTTAATGAACTAAAACTTTTACATATGCCCTAACCCTGTTTTTACTTTATTTTCCTTTTTGTGTTTTAATTACAAAGTAATGCATATTTACATTCTTTAAACAATACACAAGTGCCTAAAGTAAACACAGAAAGTCCTTTGCAAACTATTTCACATGTCCCCACCTCCCTTTAGGGGCAACTACTTTTTTTTTTTTTAAGATTTTATTTATTTATTTGACAGAGAGAGACAGTGAGAGCAGGAACACAAGCAAGGGGAGTGGGAGAGGGAGAGGGAGAGGCAGGCCTTCCTCAGAGCAGGAAGCCTGATGCGGGGCTCGATTCCAGGACCCTGGGATCATGACCTGAGCCGAAGGCAGACGCTTAACCAACTGAGCCACCCAGGCACCCCAAAGGGCAACTACTTTGAACAGTTTGTGTGGAGATCTTTTTATGCCAATTCACACTATAAAAATATTTAAAGATGTTGTAGACGTAAATGTAGTAACATTGTGTTTCTTTGGAAATATCCAAAGCTCATTTTCTCTCTCGTTTATTATAGTACCTTTCCTCCTTTCTCTCTATGATGTTTATTGAGGAGAAAGAGGATGATATAACTAAGGAAGGAATTCAACTAAGGGATGCATTTATATTCCCTATGAACAAATGCTGCCCTGGACCATCCAAGTTTCGTTCTTAAAAATCATCATCTTGAGGGGCGCCTGAGTGGCTCAGTCAGTTGAGCATCGGACTCCTGGTTTCTGCTCATGTCATGATCTTACGTTGTGAGATTGAGCCCCGCATCGGGCTCCACACTTAGCACGGATTCTGCTTCAGATTCAGATTCTCTCTCTCTCTCTCTCTCTCTCTCTCTCTCTCCCTCCCGCTCCCCCTCCCCCTCTACCCCTCCTCCTGCACTCTACCTATAAAGGGGAGGATCATTGCAGCTGGGCACAAAGCAGTGGTAAATAGCCCCAGCAGGGCAGACTCCAGGGCCTTAACAACATGACATAGAAGCTAAATAAGGCAATTGATGGTAGGAAAATCTATTTTAAAATATCTGAAAAGTTAAGACAACTTTGGTTATACACTTCTCACTTTTGTAGTGTGGTCTCATAGTTTTATTAGGTAAAGACATTCAGAATATAAAATAGCACATAGTAATAAAAAGTGTGGAGTCTGGTGCCAGACTGCCTAAGTTTGATCTCTGGTTTTGTTAATTATTAGCCACATGACCTTAGGCAAGTTACTTAGCTTCTTGGTGCCTCAGTTTCCTTCAGTGTAAAAAGGAATAATAATCATCCTACTTCAGAGGGTTGTTGTAAAATATGCAAATTGCCTAAAATAGTGCCTGGCACATCATAAACACTGCATTTGCTATTATTATTTATAGGAATCGGGGTTTTTTGTTTTGGT